CACAGCCCCTCGGGCACCTTTGCTGCCCCATGGGCACTCCTGAGGGCTGTGCCTGCCCATCCCAGCTCGGGGAGCAGCCCAAAGCTGCATCTCAGGCCTGAGGGACACCGTGCCCAATTCCCCAGCTCCTGTTCCAGCCCCAAGGCCAAACCCAGCTCCCTGCTCGGCATCTCCAGTGGCTCCTCCTGCCTCAGACACAGCCCAGCCCTGGCACTGCTCTCCTCTCGTTTCCTCTCCTGCTAATTAATGAGGGAGCCAGCCCTGGAGCAGCCTGGCACGGCTCTGCTGGGCTGCCCCAGTGACAGACACAGGCAGGGGACACAGGCTGGGGACATGGACACAGGCAGGGGACATGGGCCAGGGACACAGGCTGGGGACACAGGCAGGGGACACAGGTTGGGGACACGGGCTGGGGACACCCATCATGTGGCAGCGCTGGCCCTTGGGGACACCCGGCGTGGCCACGGCTTCACCCACGACTTGAGGAGCCACATTCCACAGCAGGGCAGGGCAGGGCAGCAAAAATGGTGACACTGACACGGGGACAATGCCACCTGCCAGTGCTCCTCCCACCCATTGCCATGGTCCTGCGTCCCCCAGGAGGAGAATTCTGGCTCCTGCATCAGCGCAGGCCCTGCTGAGGCTTTTCAGCCCTGCCAAGGCATTTCAGCCCTACCAAGGCATTTCAGCCCTGCTCAGGCATCTCAGGTCTATTCAGGCATTTCAGCCCTACCAAGACATTTCAGCCCTGCTCAGGCATCTCAGCTCCAGCCCTGCCAAGCAGTGGCAGCTCCCGTCTGGCACCAGGAGCCAGCAAAGGTCACATTCCCGGCCATGGGGACAGACCTGCTTTGTTCCCAGCGCTGCTCTAATTAGGAAATTACGCTGATTTTTTTTTTTTTTTTTTCCCCACAGCAGAACTATCAAAACTTGGGCTTGTTCCTTGCCAAAGCCTCCTCTCCTCTGCTGGTGACTCAGCGTGACACCAGGGCACTGGAAACACGGCATAGGGAGAGGGAGGGAGCCAGGGGTGGCACTGCAGGGGTTGGGGGTTTGGGTGCAGAACGCAGCACCCCAGCAGTGCCCCCACGTGTGGGAAGCACCTGAACCCCACACAGGGCAGGGCAGGCTCAGGGTGTGGGTAATGAAGAGGAGGAGGAGGAGGAGGATGAAAGATCCACGGAACTGTGCCTGGTTCTGAGTCAGGGTTTGCCAGGAGGGTGGGGGACAGGGGACACTGTGAGCTCATTCCCTGGGGGGGAGCTGAGGGGGGACAGGGAGAGCCCCCAGGCCTCTGAGCCCCTCGTGCCAAAGAGCAGCAGGACCCAGAGGAGGGGATCCAACACCTCTGGGGTTCTCAGCTCTGTTTTGTTTTTCCTTGGGTGTTCCAGGAAACACCAGAGGCAGCAGAGCACGGCAGCGTGTCAGGGGTGCAGCCGTGCCAGGGGTGCAGCCGTGCCAGGGGTGCAGCTGTTTTTGGGCTGTACAGCTGTTCTGGGGTGTGCTGGCATCGCTGCCATCCAGCTGTGTTGGCATAGAAACTGCCAGGGCTCTGCCACCGCCTCCCGTTACACAATTTTACACAATTCCCTCCA